TCTTGTTTAGTAAATCAGTCTGAAAACAAGATCAAAAAGACTTTTTGGCTGATATAAGAGTTTAAAACTTGGTTAGATGGACAGTTTTTACAGTGTAGTATTCTTATATTAGTGTACATAGTTACATTACTGTAATTTCWCTTTGGGATCATTAAAGTATCTTTCATTCATTCATACTTCTGTGTATAAAAGAAGTACATTTTAAGTACGTCATTAAGTATGTGACATGTATTAAAGTGTATTTCTTGGTGAGTTAAGACATTATAAGTTAAAGTGTACTATTTTTAAAACTAAAACGTCCCCATTTACTACAAATAAGTATTAAATCTGTATACTTTCTAGTACACTACAAGTACATGGTGCTTAGTTGATATAGTTAAACTTATACTGAAGTATAGTTATTAAAATGAACATTGTGTACAGTGTTTTAGCTGAGGGTAAAGTAACTCAGAGAAGTAGAAAATCAAAGTGTTCAGTTTCATGTGAAGTCTGTTGTTTTTCAGTCTGTTTGACATTTAAACAGGTCAGACTCAGAGGAAACATTAAAAAGCTTTCTCACATCTCCTGATTGACTCTGGCTGCTGCTAACAAACGTGTGTGTGTGTGTGTGTGTGTGTGTGTGTGTGTGTGTGTGTCTGATTGACTTTCTTTTACATGTGCACACACACACACTGAGGCGGAGCTGCCACACTGAGGCTGTCGGAGCACAAAGGGCTGCTGCTCGTGACCTATGTGGACTGAATGCTAACAGAAGCTAAGGAATGCGCGGCGCTGGGCCCGACCGGACCAACAGTACTTCAAAACGCTGTTGACTCGCAGCTCCTCGTGGGATCAGAGCCGGAGAGACGGGGRTAAAAACACAGCTCTGTGCCTCCGACAGGCACAATCAATGAAGGCCACTTATGAGGAGAATAGTCTCTGGTCTGAAGACTAACAACAAATAACACAAACGACAGCTTTAACTGGATTTTTCTCCTTCCTGCTGGATGTTGTGTTTGTTACCTGTGACTCTCTGCACAAACAGACATTATTGAGACGTTTGTCTCACAGCAGCCGGAGCTTTGGGTCAGCGTGCCGTTGTGCTCAGGAAAACGCAGCCTTCGTCCTGCTCTTTCTGATCATTTCTCCTGCTGATGGCTGCAGTCGTGTCAACAGAGCCAGGCTGGAGCTGCGTGTGCTCAGCTTTTTCACTTTTTGTTCACCGAAGTGCACTTTCAGCAGCCACCACCCAGAACTGTTTCTGAGCCCRGCTGAGGAGGAGCGCAGCTGCCCACCCAGTTCCCAGAGTCTGGCAGCATTTAGACCTGACCCCTGACCTCCGGCTGGACTGTGGGAACAAATATGGATCCTGCTGAAAACAAGCTGTGGGAGAGGGACGAGATGTGTGGAGGTGTTGGTTATTTATGGAGTCTGAATAAAACTCGTTTATTCTTTATGTTTGTTGACAAAATAAAGCTTATTTTAGAGGTTTACAGTGAAACTACCTCTCCCATCTCCCCCTCACCATCTGCCCCTTCCTGCCTGTTCACCAATAGGAGAGGAGCTGACCCAAGAAGCCCCGCCCCTTTATTTGCACAATGAAGCAGAGGCGTATAAGGCAGGGGTGCCCAAACATGTTCCCTGAGGGGGCCAAAATTAAAATAAATCTGAGGGCCGCGGGCCAAATGTAATAATATAAGAAATGCAAAAACTCAAGTAAAGTTGTTTAATTTTTTATGATTAAGCTAGCAGCCGGTGTGGTTGCCTACATTCTTTATTTTTGTTTTTCAGCCCATGGACATGGAGAAAATTCAATGCTCGGGCAGCAAAGGCTCATGGGACTTTTTATAATTTAAAATTTCAGTATATGTGGTCTTGTAAGGTGTGTAAATCTATATATATATAGGCTTAAATCTAATCTAAATATCTCATGTAGTTACATGTATTTTTTATTTAATCTTAACATAATTACAATCTAGTAGCCAGGACAAATGCTGGTGGGCCAAATCAAATGGCTCGGCGGGCCAATTTTGGCCCACGAGCCCCACTTTGGGCACCTCTGGTATAAGGTAAAGTAACAGCTCGAGACAGAGAAATGTAAAAACACATAGAAATAAAAAGACATGAAACAATTATAAGAAATAATAACTGAATATAATCTTTTAAGACACAGAAATGCATGTATAAGTAAAAAGAAAAACAAACAAATATACTTTTAAAAACAGGAAAATATAAATTATGTGCTAAAATATATGTTTTATTGGAACTAAGCTGTAAAAATAAATATGTAGGTCATTAAAATGATAAAACATGAGGTAAAATTCCCATTTTTTTCATTTAATTTGTGCATTTTAAGTGTATTTTTTTAATTTATTGGTCCTTTTATATATTTGTGACTTTATTTCCCCTCACCATGGGCCTGCTGACAGGTGAGGAGGCCCCGCCCCCACAGAACCAAACGTTTGTGCTCACCTGAGGAGCGACATGCAGGTGATGTGTGTGCTGACCTCCCACAGGGATGCCCCACGCCACCTGAATAAACAAACAAACAAAAAGCAGGGAAATAAATAAATAAATAAATAAATAAACAAACAAACAACCCTCTGAGGAAACAGTGTGTGACGTCAGGATGAGTTTTATGGTTGAATCCCACCTGAACAACCAGCTCCAGCAGCAGATCTTCACTCTAACGTTTGTCACTTCAACATTAATGAAGAAACTGAGCAGAAGTTTGTCTCCTGCATGTCACAGTTAAAACCTGACTTTGTTGTGTAAAACATGAGCTGCAGCTCATCTTTTATTCAACAGTCTTGTATGAAGTAAACAACTCCGAGGTCGTGACCTCCAGCCTGAAGCAGCAGGACTTCCTGACCTTCCAGCCCACGCTTCCAGCATTTAGACCGGTCCGAACAGCACATCCATTAGAAATTTATTGATCTGAAAGTTGTTGTTTTTTCTGCAGAGCTTTCAAATGTTCCTCATTAAGTATTAAACTGGGCCGGGCCGGCGCCGTGCACGGATCCATCGTGGTTTGAACATTTTCATTTCAAAGCAGTGTTTGCACCAAGGCTTGGTAAACTTCAGCTGAAGATGTTTTTTAAACTTTAAACCGCAGAAATATTAAGAGTTTATTAAACCCATCCTCCTGTCCATCTGAAAACACTTTATTTTATTATTTATGATTTATTACAGAAACAACACCAAGAAAATAAAGGTTTTAAAWTAAAACTTGTTATTTTAATGTTTTATTTGTCATCCATCCCTCCAGCTCGTGTTCCTCAGCAGATCTCCTCACAGGCTGCAGAACAACGAAGGTGGACTTCTCACCCAAACCACTGCAGCTCCATTCAGACCAGTTGAGTTCTGCTGGTTCTCCTCATGAGATCAGAAGTCAGTGAACATCTCACAGTTTCTGTTCTTTAACATCATCCTCATCACAAATCTGGGTTTCCTGAACCTGATGCAGACAGTCAGATCCTGTCCTCCTCTTCAGTCCACACTTCACCATCAGAACCACCACTTTGAAGCTCTCAGACTCTCTGATCAGGCTGCTTTTGGTGCAATTATTGATCCTGCTCCTCTGGGACAGGTGTGGACTGGAAGGGCGAGCTGAGAGAGAGAGAGATGCTCGCTCATCCTGTAGGACCATCTGAGCTCCTTCCAGGAAAACCCAAACCTCCACCGTTTGAAGCWGCTTTGGATCTTCTCTGAGTCCAGCAGAGACGTGTCATCATGCAGACAGAGTTAAATGAAGAGGGTCTCCAGAGGACAGTGGGACCACCCTGTGAGTAAGTAAAGTTTTATTTATAAAGCGCCTTTAATAGAAGGTGCTGTACGATCATTAACAGTGTAAAAATGGTGAAAAGAATAAAATGAAACAGAAAAACATAATTAAACATGAGCAACGAAAAACTGAAACATCAAATCAAGAATTAATCTTTAAAATTGTAACTCAAACACAAGGTCAGTGCAGGTCAAAATATACAATAATACACAAAAACATAATGAAATATGGTGTAAGTTCAATAATAAATAAAAAAACACAGATTGGTGAGCAGTGAGGACACTGTCCCTGCTGTAACAAAGATCTGGTCCCAGCGCAGGGTTCCAGTCAGGTTCAGGTTCTGGACTCTGGACCGTTCAGCTCAGCTGCCTGATGAAGAGCTGCAGCTGCAGGCTGCAGGGCGGGGCAGGAGCTGCCTGAGCTGAGCCAGACCAACAGGCCGGGTCGGTCCATATTTACCCAAACTGAGTCAGACATCAGCTCCAACAACAGGCTGACACAGGAGCAGCACAGCTGCTGTTTACCACAGAAACTGCACCTTTAAACACATTCATGTATTACTGGAGTGGGCGTGGCTAGCGTGTTGCTAACTACACTGACGTGCACAAACTGCAGCTCTGCTCTGCACTGAGGAGCCTCAACAACATGAATGGAGGTCAATGGACTGTGAGGTGTCTTCCTGATGAAAAACTCTTATAACTTCATTATTTAACATCAATTTTTATCAACTATGGTTCAAAATAAAGCTGAGGAAATTGTGAATTTTATAGTTATGGAANGTTGCTAACTACACTGACGTGCACAAACTGCAGCTCTGCTCTGCACTGAGGAGCCTCAACAACATGAATGGAGGTCAATGGACTGTGAGCTGTCTTCCTGATGAAAAACTCTTATAACTTCATTATTTAACATCAATTTTTTATCAACTATGGTTCAAAATAAAGCTGAGGAAATTGTGAATTTTATAGTTATGGAAATTTAAAATAGATAACTAATTTAAATGATTAAAACAGTGGCTTAAACTGAGTATTTTGTGTTTCACAGGTGTTTTTTCATACAAATCAATGAGTTCTGACCAGCTGGATATTAATACATATATTTATTAATCACAACTGAGTCTTAGATATTTAAAGTAATAAAATTAATCTTTCAAGTCTATATACGTATATGTGTGTGTTTCTATGTGTGTATATATATATATTCTTATTGTGTGTGTACATATGTACAACTATAAAAGTTTTTAAATAAATTTTGGTTAAATATGTGTAATATTTACCTGTGAAACATAACTCTTTTATCTCTTGTAAACATGTTGTAACAATCTGTGTAGTTTATAGTAAAGTATTTGTGACATTTGTACATTTATAAACCGTTTGTTTGYATTGTGCTACTTTCTGCTCATTGATTTCAATGGTTAGCATTAGCATTAGCTCAATGCATAAAAACCCCCCTGTGAAGCCACGCCCAGGTCACATGACGCCCAGTCCAGTGATACGTTTCAGTGTTCAAACCTGCTGGAAACACAAGAGAATAAAAAGCTCTGAGTTGTTCTCTGAACCCAGACGGACTGGACTCCTCACATCATCTCAACTTCATGAAGAAAAACCTTCATCCTCTGATGCTTCTGGACTTTAGAGTTAAAGTCAATCAAAGTGATCGTTCCTCCTGTCAGACACCTCCTCCTGTCAGACACCTCCTCCTGTGCTGCACGTTTAATCACTTCATTCTTTTCATTTCATCGGGTTTTATTTTTCTGATGATCCAGGTTTGACTCTGGTCCTGACTGAGCTGCACATTAAACCTGATTTTTACTTTCAGAGCAGAAAAACAAACTGTAAATATTAACTTTTCATTTATTTCACCCTCCCTTCCTCTGTGCATCAGGACACTTTTACACAAGAGTTATTTTTCCAGCTGGTTAAAAAGCAGCAGACAGGCTGAGGAGCAGGAAAAACACTAAACTCAGGAATCAGCTCCTCGGGATTCAAACTACAAACCCAACATGAGGAGTTTGAGCTCTGTGACCCTGTCAGCTACAAATCCTGTAAGTGGAGAACAAACGGCCTCTGCTGCTGCTAATCAGGCTTCAACACACACACACACACACACACACACACACACACAC